TTTTTTTTTTTTTTTTTTTCATATATACCCATGTAAGAAAGGCACTACACTCATGGGGCTCTTACATACCATCAGTGGAAAATATAGGGTGTCCCCAAAAAATATACACACACTCTGAATAATTTTTAATTCCAATGTTTCTTACTTTTCAGATTTTACCCATTGGAATTAATAATTATTCAAACTGTGTATAAGTTTTTTGGGACACCCTGTATATGGCCTCTATCTAGCTAAAGAAGTAACTACTATGGTCCAGAAGAATTCATACTTCATTTGCCATCCCCATGTTTGTTCCACTGCAAAGACACTCTTCCATATTTCTGGGTTAATAGCTATTGCATAGACAATTTTTTATTCATTTTGGTAATTACAGTTTCTGTCATTAGTAGGGCAAACTGGCAAATTATCAATGACATATTTACACTATCAATAGCATCCTCAGGGAGCCAAGATGTTGGAAAACATACTGGAGTAGCAACGTGCATAGAATGTCCTAGTTCACCATCTGGTTGTTTGGGTTGAATGCTGCAGAGAGTTCTTTTGTTTGAAGTAGGCAGCATTGAGATTGTGACTGGACCCATGAAATCTCACTAAATGAAATTTCCTATTGCATGTCAATGTAATATTTCCCCGTGGTAGGCTATGTTGCTTCTCAATACAAAGCAAGTAAATCCTGATTATATGGCAGCTCTAGGCCTTCCTGGGAAAGAGTAAGCCTGAGTCAACAAGAAAACTGTGTATTTTCCCATATCTATTCCCTGAAAGCTATAATGTGTCTAAAAATGTCAACCAAGCATATGAACCATATCATCTTTGCATTCTTACACGTATATATTCTTTTCTTAGACTGAAGTCATTTTTCAGCGATAACTTGACTAACATTCAGGTAAGTTATATATCAAGTAAAATGATTTGCATAGACTATTAAATTGCTTAATGTACAGGTATTTAGTTATTCTCATATAAAGTCTGACATGTCACAGCAGGACAATATGGAACATATTGTCCCCTTACAGTATAGTATAGTGGCTATCAGCATAGACAAGAATGTCAAAATTTGTGTGTTTGAATCACAGTTCTAACACTATCTGTGTGTCATTGGACAAATTACTAAACCTCTCTGTACCTTCGTTTTATCATCTGTAAAATGATTATGTGTATATATATTTTTTAAAT